TGCAATTAACATTAAATGGTCAAAACGAAAGAAGAAGAGCGAGCCAATGACTTGCAGTTGTTGTTGTTTTTAGAGCACTATTTTTTTTTACAATCAAACATCTGTGTTCAATTGCCCAATGTATACATTAATACGAATGTACATACATGCTATATTCATACACAGGCATACATACATATGTATGTATGTTTCTCTTTACTTTTTCAACCGTACGTAGAGAACCGCACACATAGACACGAACTGTTGCTTGTTGTGTGTGTGAGTGTGTGTATGTGATGTCCCCAACTATTTGATATTTGTTGTTGCTGCATAAAGTTATTAATGAAAACCCTAATGCCAAATGCACTAAACAAAGAAAAAATTACTTTTAAAAATGTTATATAATTTTCAATTAATTAACATTTCTTGCTCTGTCAGTGCAAGACGAATGTACATACATACATATGTAGATACATATGTACATACATAGATGTGCACATACATATGTATCTATGGACATTCACACATTAGTGTCTCACATTTTGCTTTGGCTATTTCAATCGTTTGCACGCAACTACACGAACAGCTGCTTGCATGTGTGTGTGTGTGTGTGTGTGTGTATGTATACTTAGTTATCCCCAACTGTTTGATATTTTGTATTGTTTGTTCTGCCGGCTTTTGTAAAATGCATATTTTGAAAATCCTTGAATGCAAAGTTGTAGATTTAGTTACGTAGATTACATTACCCAAATTTTAAATCGATCGGACTAAATTAATACCACAAACTTTTCATTGGAAATAGTGAATAAATATTAAAACCCCAATAATTCAAGCTCCAACACAAATCTAAGTATGCAGTTTTGTTTGTATTCTTTAATTGATTTTAGAAACTAAGTTTTAAGTGGATCGGTTGAAAAATGCGGATTTTTCAAACAAACTGTGGAGCTACTTTTCCCCCATTTGGAGCTCGAATTTTCCAAAATCCCTTCTTAATGCACATTTACACTATGATAGGATACTTGACCCCAAATTCCAGCTTTCTAGCTCTTACCGTTTGGGCTGTGCGTTGATCATCAATCAGTCAGAATAAACTGTTTTATATATATAGAGATTACCTACTTTTGTGTCGAATTTCATCGGAATCGGTCAATTCAATGTATATAACTCAGTGTTTGCCTGGGTACAGGGAATTTCACTGTCGGGCTTTCTCGACTGTAGCGTTCTCTCTTGTTATACCCTGTCCCTAAAGGGTGAAAGGGTATAGTAGTTTTGTGCGAATGCATGTAACACACAGAAGGAGGCGTGGCAGACCTAACAAAGTATATATTTTCTCAATCTGGGTGACAAGCCCAGGCAGGTCAAGTTTGTTTTTTTATTCTGATTCTCCCCCCACTCCCCCGCAATTCGTGTTTTTCATAACTCCCGTAATTCTTGGAATTTTGAATTTGTCGTCTACATCCAGTTTGTGGTTATGTATCCGTATGCCAAGTTTCATCATGATAGGTCAATTCTGAAGAAAGCTATAGTCATAAATAAAATCGCTGCCCATGCTCTGCCTGCAGCGCTGCCCTGTTTTTGTTGCTGCTTTGGCCCAACTTTGTGCTGCATACATACACGAATATAAACACGCAGAGACACGATTCTGATGTAAATCTATGCTGTTGAAACTATACTTGTATATGAACATGCCTCCACTTTTGTACTAGTATGTACATAACTAGGTATATTTGCCATTGCACTGTATACCCTAGCTCTCGGACAATACCAAAGAAATAAGCTATTTGGTAGTTCCTTTAGAAACTTAAGAGAATGTCGCAAGAGAAATAGCATAATGTAAATAAATGTATAATTGCAAATACTTAGCCCAGCATAGACGGGCAAGACCTGCTAGTTCAAGATAAAACAAGTAGAGAAGCTAAAGTCGGGTGTCCCGACTTTGAAATACTCTGTACATATGTTTACAATAATTATAGAAAATAAAACAAGTAAAAAAGCTAAAGTCGGGTGTCCCGACTTTGAAATACTCTATGTTTACAATAATTATAGAAATTAAAAAAGTAAGAAAATTAAAAAAAAAAAAAAAAATGGATCGATTTTACCTCTCTCGGTATTCGAACTCACGTAAAGGGTGTATAATTGCACATTTACATAGCAATTGCGTCTGTGTGAGTGTATGTATGCCTATGCGCATCAATTCGTGTCTGTGTAAGCATTTTCGCAGTCAACCAAACAGCAACATCAACAACAGCCGCGGGCAGCGCTTGAGCAGCGCTGCAGCAGCAAATATATTTATGGCTATAACTTCTTGGTAAATCGGTCTATCATAGTGAAACTTGGCATACGGACACATAATTATATTATAATAATAATAATTTGCTGCTGCAGCGCTGCTCAAGCGCTGCCCGCGGCTGTTGTTGATGTTGCTGTTTGGTTGACTGCGAAAATGCTTACACAGACACAAATAGACGCGCATAAACATACATACACTCACACAGAGGCAATTGCTATGTAAATGTGCAATTATATACCCTTTACGTGAGTTCGAATACCGAGAAAGGTAAAATCGATCCAATTTTTTTTATTCTTGTTTTATTTTTTTTTATTTTCTATAATTATTGTAAACATATGTACAGAGTATTTCAAAGTCGGGACACCCGACTTTAGCTTTTTTACTTGTTTTTGAATGGCTTTAAAGTTTGATTACAACTTGGCATGTGTTTTTTAATATAATTGGAGAAGGATTTTACTTTTACCGATATTAACATAGTATTGTATTCATCTAAGATGCTTACGTTAATTTTCCGTAATATATTCTGCTTAAATGCGTATTCTGAGTCTTTGTTGCTGCTACAAATGTCAACAATGTTTGCATGCCCAAACAGTAGTTTTGCTGCAACAAACGCAATTTTAGAGAAAACGTGCTAATTAGGACGAAGTTCTTTAGTAATTCCATAATAAACATATATTAGTTAGTATTTCCACATTTATAACATGAACAACACATGGCAAAATTACACGAACACACTTCATCGCTTAAAAACAGTTTTGGATTATAATTTTACATACCTTGATTAACGTTTTCCATTATATAACTTAAATTTTGTGGGTTATTTTCTTAGTTCTGCAAGCTCTGAAGTTTACCAAAAATTGCTGCCAAAATCACAGATACATGTGTTTCACACAATCAGGTAACTTTGACTGCGCGCCATGAAAATGGTGTTGCCCTATAAGCAGGAATTAATTTAATTTTCGCTTAATTAAACAATTTATAATAAAATAAAAATAAAATTTTTTATATTTGGACAACATTTTTTTTGGACTTTCTGCCAAAAAAACGGGGAAAAAAACCATAGTGCATAGGGGGGAAGTGGGGGGGAAAATCAAAAAAAATAAAACAAACTCGTATAGAATACACACATAAGGCATCTTTGTGCAAAATTTGGTGTCTCTATCTCTTATAGTCTCTGAGATCTAGGTGATCATACGGACGGACAGACGGACAGACAGACAAACAGGGCTAAATCGACTCGTCTTGTCACGCTGATAAAGAATATATATACTTTGTGGGGTCTGTCACGCCTCCTTCTGCCTGTTACATTTTTCAGCTCGCGCAAACCTAATATACTCTTGTACATTTCATGTACAGAGTATAATAAGACAAACTCGTATAGCGTACACACATAAGGCATATTTGTGCAAAATTTTGTGTCTCTAGCTCTTATAGAGTCTGAGACGGAGAGCTCATCGGGTCGCATTGCAATCTGGGCCCTTGAACTGCAACAGCAAACGTTCAATGCCACGACGATGCGACCGCTACCCATATAGAAGTAATGTGCGCGCGTCGCCAATTGGTATCACTGGTCAACTTTGTACCCAATTCAGCCCAATGCACAAGCCGTGCCCTGAAACATTTCCAGCATACATCTCAGGAAAATCCGATGCGGCTACACCAATTGACGCCCTGGTGACCGTTACAGGGCTTAGCTACGAAAAGAGAAGGTCTGCGGTAGGTGATAGTTGTAAGCGTAATTTGTTGGTGTAGTTCTAAGCGCAGCTTGTAAGGGGTTTTAGAAAATGGAGATATAATAAAGTTTGGCAGCAAAGGTTTTGAATTCAAATTTGATTGTAAAAATAAATTTGGTACGAATATAAGCGGCCGCCTTTTTACTTTTGAGGGGTCCAATATAAAAGAAATAAATAACTGCACGCACCTAAGCACCGGCGTACAAACCTGGTAAAGTCCACCGTTACAGTCTGGGGACAAGAAATTTCAACTTGGCGACTTTTATATATTTTTTTATCCTGCGTGCTACGTACTTTTTAAAATTAAGGATTTCACACAATTTCATTTTTCAGGAACAATATGATAAGTTCAAAGTTTAAATCAATATGCAAAAAGCATTAATTTTTTTTATCACAATTCAAAAAATAAACCTAAGTTATCAAAACTTTACTAACTAATTATAATTCTTTTTACTTTTTAATCTCAAGTGAGCTCTTTCTCCCCTCACTAAAAGCTTCTATTTTCAGCTACCTCCGACAGAATCACTGATCACCACTGCTGTGAGTAGGGGCATAGCTTGCCGGACTGGCTAATAAATTTTCCCCCAACGGGTCAGTGATTCTTCACCTTTAGCTTTTAATTATATTTTATCTCTTATTATTTAAGTTTTTTTCTTTTATCTTCTATTGCTATTTTTTCATATCCATTCCTTTTTTTTGTTAGGTCTAATAACTTATCTGACTACCCTCTGCTGTGAATCGGGGCAAAGCTGGCCGTTTGGCAAATAAAATTCCCCCACCGTGTCGGATTCGTTATTAGATATTTGTGTCATTTTTATAGGCTTTTTATTCCTATAGCTTTATTTTAGTTTAAGTTCTCTTTTGTATTGATTTTTTGTTTTCTTTTTCTTTTACATCGACTGCATTGTTTGTCGATGAAATAAATAAATAAATAAACTAAATATGTATTATTTACTATACATATTTTTGTAAATGAATGGCTTTTTGTTTAATTTCAGGCCAGGGAAAACAGACATGCCATGGCTAAAGCATTATACTTAAAGACTTTCAAATGGCTTGTAACTAAAATAAATAGCTGCACTAACCCTGGACAATATGGCGCTAAGTTTTTGGGAGTACTAGATATATTTGGTTTTGAGAATTTTGAAAAAAATTCCTTTGAACAATTGTGTATTAATTATACCAATGAAAAACTACATAAATTTTTTAATCACTATGTGTTTACTCTGGAACAAGAAATTGTAAGTATCATTACATATAATATTAATGTTAATTTTCGCCAGTATAACTAGTATTAAGAATTTGCTTGGTATTTTGGACTATGGCCCTTCTGGCTACACTGTGCTGTGGGAATATGCTTAATTTAACGCACAAATTCTTGGAAATCGCAAAGCTTAGGAGACGTGAATTTTGCACCATTTCTTAAGTTTACAACAAAATTACTCAGAAAACTTCAGCATCGCACATTTAGTGAACCCAGCTGCAGAGCTGCAGAAAAAGAAAATCAATCAATTATCAAGGAAATAGGCGAAAACGCTTCACTGCGCGTTTGTGAATTTCTTGACATGGACGTCAATACGAATGCGCCAAAACCTGTCATGGAGGCCAAAATTATGGAAGCTATATGAGTTGGCGGCATCGATGCAGACAATGAGTCAAATGCATTGGATTTGAAGTTGAAACTGGAGGTCTACGGACAAATCGAAAATGAAGAAACAGAAACTATAAATTTAACTGCAAAAACATTGACAGAAGCATAACAGAAGCACTAGCACACGACGAAATATGTAGGTATATTGAAAATTGAGGGTGACATCGATATTTGCCCGAGTGAGTTAGACCTTCTTCAAGCGGAAGAAGAAACATTGATAAGTAAGAGATATGTTTTGAAATCTTCTTCACTGTCAAACGAGCAAAAGTCGGAATGGCTACATGATTCCAAACCACAGCACAATTAATCCATACAAACAACAATGGTAAATTTGCTACTTCAAGCAGGAACTGTGGATTTCCTTTAGAAGAAAATGTACACATGTACAGCGCAATGGATAGCGCTAAAAGGCTCAGCAAGGAACAAGGTCCGCCTTATTGCCAATCTCAGGAACAGAGCCCTCCAAAATTATAAAAATTTTCTACAGGGCATATGGTGAACCAGAAAATGTCCCACTTGAGCTGATGTCAAGCGCAAATCCAGTCAATACCAGTAACTCAACTATGTGACCTTGAGTAGTTCAAATCACGCAGTGCGAAACATAAACGCACTGAGTATTCATATGGAACTTTAAACGACACACAAGGGCTTTCATCTACGGTGATTGGTGAATGGATCGAAAGCTATCTACGGGAATGAGGTGAATTTTTGATCTGCTATATATTCGACAGACTTGCTGAATGGACACGGATGCAGACTGATCTTATTCAAGACATTACATTCTTCCAGGAGGTGTTAGCAATCAATAACTCAGTGACGTTGTACACAGAACATCAAAAACCGAGTAAAATTTTTAATGTCGCCGGCAACAAAAAGCCAAAAACTTGACCTCATTAAGTTAAAAGTTATTCGTCATATAATTCTACTGGGATTACGATTACGCTGCGATTACAATGGCAATATATAAAGCGTGCCTATTGCTGTTTGAAATTTCTAAAAATTCAATGCAATCTAAGTGACGCTTGCTAAATTGACAATTGCGAGCAATTTCGCAAAACACTAAAAGAAGAGAAGTCATCGCAGAACAAAAGGTGAATGCCCTTTTTAAAATGGAATCAGTCACTGTTCACAGCGAACATAACTCCAAATACTAGATAATTGCGTAGATGAAGGAAATATATTGTATCGACGTCCTGGCGATCGTCACAGGGTATCGTCACTAGGGAAGGACGGCGAGGTGTAGTTTTAAGGAAAATACAAGATATTAACGTAGCCTAGTTGGCTTAAGTTCAGCCGCGACGGCATACTTTAAGTTTGATTGTTCTGCCCATCGCCACTGAAGGCCAGCCACCATTAAAATTCAACGTTAAGACATAAGTTCCGTTTTCCAATTTTCAAGTGCTTTATAGCTAGCCATGCAAGGATTAGCATACGCATTATTAACATCTCTTATTACAAAGTCATTACATGTATGAGCGCACTTACAATTAATTGCTTACAAACAACTTAAGTCTATAATTCCAATAACTTAAATCTATAATTCAAATATTTGCCAACAAACTTAAATCTATATTTAAAGTATAAATGGCATGAAATGCCTAAATAGATTCCGTTTGCTTTAGCTAGACGGAAGGCGTACAGCAGAAATTAAAACAAGAAAAATGTAACAGGCAAAAAAGGGGTCTGCCACCCCACAAAGTATATGACCACGAATATGGTCAGAATGACAAGACGAGTCGATCTAGCCCTGTCTGTCTGTCTGTCCGCTCGTCCGTCCGTATGAACACCTGGATCTCAGAGACTATAAGAGATAGAGACACCAAATTTTGCACAAAGATGCCTTATGTGTGTATTCTATACGAGTTTGTTTTATTTTTGTGATTTTCCCCCCCACTTCCCCCCTATGGGGGTTTTCCCGATTTTCCATTCGTATAATCGCCTATATCTCGGAGACTATAAGACCTACGGACACCAAATTTTAGTCCCAGATGCCTTATGTGAATACGCAGAAAATTTATATTTTGGGATTTCCCTCCCTCCCCCCTCTACCCCGCAAAATACCACCAGTTGGTTATTATGTGTCCGTGTGCCAAGTTTCACTATGATAGACCGATTTAACGAGAAGTTATATCCATAAATATATTTTCTGCTGCAGCGCTGCTCAAGCGTCCTTCTGCCCGTATGAGCACCTGGATCTCAAAGATCATAAGAGATCATAAAAGATCAAATTCCCATAATTCCTAGAATTTCGAACTCAAATTGGGCAAATACCCCCAGTTAGTGATTATGTGTCCATGTGTCAAGTTTCATTATGATAGACCGATTTAACAGGAACTTATAGACACAAATATAATTGCTGCCGAAGCGCTGCCCGCAGCTGTTGTTGATGTTGGTGCTTTGGTTGACTGCAAACATGCTTACACAGACACGAATAGACACGCATAGACATGCATACACTCACATAGACGCAATTGCTATGTAAATGTGCAATTATACACCCTTTACGTGAGTTCGAATCCCGAGAGAGGTTAAATCGATCAAATTTTTTTTTTATTTTCTTAATTTTTTTTATTTTCTATAATTATTGTAAACATATGTACAGAGTATTTCGAAGTCGAGACACCCGACCTTAGCTTTTTTACTTGTTGTTTTTAATTTTCTTAATTTTTTGAATTTTGATAATTATTCTAAACATATGTTCAGAGTGTTTCACCCGACTTTGGCTTCCCTACTTGTTTAAGTTTGTTTTTTGTTTAAGTTTTTTTTTTGTTTAATGGCATTCAAGTGCAAAAATTGCATCAATTTGAACAGAACAAGAAGATCTCCTGCTTAGATAAGTCAATTTGTAGCGAAAATGATGGTTTTAACAGAAATTCAAAAAATCGATATTATTAATTTTAAAACAAGAAAGGAATGCTAAAGTCGAGCAGGCTCAACTCTTAAATACCCTGTACCACCCCACAAAAAAATAAATAAATTAAATATTATTAATTAATTAATTTAATTTAATTTAATTTAATTTAATTAAATTAATTTAATTAATTAACTAAATTAAATATAAAATATTCCATACATGCATGCATACATTTACATTTACATCAGAATGGTGTCTATGCGTGTTTGTGTACTTGTACATATGTATGTATGTGTGCATTGGCCATGGTTATATGGCTATAACTTTCTTTCTGATCAACCTATCATAATGCAACTTGGTATACGGATATATAATTACTAACTGGATGTGTCTACCATTTTAGTTTAAAATTCCAAGAATTACGGGAGTTATAGAAAATCTTGAATAGGGGGGGAGTGGAGGGGCGCATCGGGAAAAATGAACAAAGTCGTCCTTTCTCGGGCTCAGGAGAATCTCTATAACATATTGGGTTATTCTAGCTCTTATACTTTCTGAGATCCTTGCGTTCATACAGACGGACAGACGGACGGACGGACGGACGGACGGACAGACGGACATGGCTATATTGACTCGTCTTCTCATCCTGATCAAGAATATATATACTTTGTGGGGTCTGCCACGCCTCCTTCTGCTTGTTACATACATTCGCACAAAACTAGTATAACCTTTCACCCTTTGGGTACAGGGTATACAAAATCTGATAAAATATTGCTATATCTGAACAAATAATGTGTAAAGAATCATCTGTAAGGAGTTTTTAGATAAAATATTTAAAAAACCGAGAGTATAGGGCGCCAGTCTGGCAGCGGACGTTCAAGGATGACTAATGGCCGTCAGGACAGGAATTTAGTCCGAATATCACTGCGCAACCGTTTTAAAACTCATCCAGAAATTACTGCAGAATTTGAAAATGCCAGTCATTTGGAATTAAGCAGCTCAAATGGCGACTAAAAAGAAATAATTTGACCGCCAGACGAGCTGCAAAAAACTCGTTCTTAAAGCAAAAAGCGTTCCAACAGACTAAATTGGTGCAAATAGAAGATAAATTGGTCAGCTGATGGTTGGGCTAATATGATATTCTTTGACGAAAGCGAAATCAACTTAATTGGTCCAGATTCGGGAGTCATGGTTCGTCGTAGAGCCAATGAAAGATTCAGTGATCAATGGGTGCAAAGTTCTGTGTTGTATTCCCCATACTTTATGATCTGGGGAGCAATTCCAACTCGTGGTGGTAGAGAGCTTGTATTGCCGGAAGGTACCAGCAACTCTGCAGCCTATGTGGATATAATATAAATGGGGGTTTTTGCCTACAAGCGAGTCCCTAACTCAACACGTTTCAAATATGGTTTTTCAAGTCGATTGCCCACCATTTCACCGTTCGAAATCGGTAAGAACTGCGTGGATATTTTCTAACGTGGTGGTAGAGAGCTTGTATTGCCGGAAGGTACCAGCAACTCTGCAGCCTATGTGGATATAATATAAATGGGGGTTTTTGCCTACAAGCGAGTCCCTAACTCAACACGTTTCAAATATGGTTTTTCAAGTCGATTGCCCACCATTTCACCGTTCGAAATCGGTAAGAACTGCGTGGATATTTTCTAATATTTTCTATTCCCTAACTCAACACGTTTCAAATATGGTTTTTCAAGTCGATTGCCCACCATTTCACCGTTCGA